GTCAGTTTTGGTTATCTTTTCAAATAACCAGCTTTTATTTGCTCCATTTTCTCTTTTTATTTCACTCATTTCTGTTGTAATTTTTCTTTCTGCTTGCTTTGGGTTTAGTTTTCTTTTTCTAGTTTAAGTTGTAGCCTAGGCTATGGATTTTAGATTTTTAAAAATATGAGTTTATAGCTATATACTTCCCTCTAAGCACTGCTTTCACTGGGCCTCATAGGTTTTGTATGTTACATTTTCATTTTCACTCATTGCAGAGTATTTTCTAGCTTCTTTTGCAACTTCTTTGACCCATTGGTGGTTTGGCTTGCTAACATTTGTTAGTGTGTTCTTTAATTTCCACACATTTGTGAATTTCCCAGATTTCCTTCTGTTATCAGTTTCTGATTTCACTTCATTGTGGTCAAAGAACATACTTCATACAATTTTTTAGTTCTTTTGAACTTAGATTTGTTTTATAGCATAGTATGTGGTCTATCCTGGAGAATGCTCCATTGCGCTTGAGAATAATGCTCAAATTGTTGAGCAAAATGTTCTATGGATATCTCTTATGTCTAGTTGGTTTATAGTGTTGTTTAATTCTCTTTTTTTTAAGACTTTATTTATTTATTTGACAGACAGAGATCACTAGTAGGCAGAGAGGCAAGCAGAGAGAGAGGGGGAAGCAGGCTCCCTACTAAACAGGGGCCTGATGCAGGGCTCGACCCCAGGACCCGGGATCATGACCTGAGCTGAGAGCAGAGGCTCTAACCCACTGAGCCACCCAGGTGCCCCTATAGTGTTGTTTAATTCTCTGTGTGTGTGTGTTGTTTAATTCTTATAGTTCCTTGTTGATACTCTACTTACTTATTCTATCCATTATTCAAACTGGATATTAGAATCTCTTGGTATTGTTGAGTTGTCCGTTTCATCCTTTAGTTTTGTCACATTTTGCTTCTTGTATTTGGGGGCTCTGTTTTTAGGTATATATGTTTATAATGATTAGGTCTTTGTGATAGATTGGCCCTCATTATAAAAATATCCTCTGTCTTTGGTAACCTTTTTTTTTTTCCCCCTAAAATTTAAGTGGCATTAGTATATGTACTTCAGCTCTCTTTCAGGTATTGTTTGCATAGTACATATTTTTTCCATCCTTTTAATCTATTTGTGCATGGGAATCTAAAGTATGTATATCTCATGGGTTGCCAGGGTGGCGCAGTTGGTTGAGCATCTGACTCTTGGTTTTGGCTGGGGTCATGAGAATGAGCTTCATGGTGGGCTCCAGGCTCAGCATGGAGTCTGCTTAAGACACTCTCTGCCCACCAACCCCCTCCCTGACAACCCCTAGAGGTGTCTCTCAGATAAAGTAAATGAACCTTTAAAAATAAAAAGTGTGTATGTCTTAGGACACCTGGCTGGCTCAGTCAGCATGCAACTTGATCTCAGGTCACAAGTTTGAGCCCCATGTTGGGTGTAGAGTTTACTTTAAAAAAAAAAAAAAAGTATGTCTCTTGTAGACAGCATATCCTTAGGTCATGTTTATTTAAACTGCCAATCTGTCTTTTGATTGGAGTCCTTAGTCCATTTACATTTAATATAATTACTGATAAGAATTTATATCTACCATTTTGCTATTTTCTGTATGTCTTAGGTCTTTTTTGTACTTCTTTTTCTTCATTACTGCCTCCTTTTGTGTTTAAATCTTTTTCTAGCATACTATTTTAATGTCTTTGTTTCTTTCAGTATACTTTTTAAGTTCTTTTCTTAATGACTGTCCAGGGATCTTAAAACAATCTAGTTTATATTAATGCCAAATTAATTTCAATAGTATACCAAAACTGCTACATTATAACTTCCCTCTCCCTTCTTGCTATATTATTTCATGCAAATTATGTCTTTGTTATAAGCCTATAAACACAATTTTATACTTTAGGCAGTTGTCTTTTTAATCAGAAGAACATGTTGCAAGCAAAAAATACATTTATACTGTCACTTACATTTACCCTTGTAATGACCTTTACTGATTTACTTCTTAGTGTGGATTAAGTTACTATCTAGTATCCTTGTATTTCAGCCTAAAGGATTCCCTTTAGTATGTCTTATAGGGCAAGTCTACTAGTGATTAATTTCTTATTATTGTTTATCTTGGCATAATTTAATTCCTCTTATTTTGAAGGATAGTTTTGCTAGGTATAGAGTTACTGGTTCGCAATCTCCTCCTTTAGCACTTTGAATATGCCAGGCTACTGCTCTCTGACCTCCCTGGTTTCTAATGAGAAGTATACACAAGGAATCTTTTTCTCCTGCTGCTTTCATGATTCTATCTTATGATGTGTCGAGGTGTGACTCTTTGAGTTTATCCTTCATGGAGTTTGGTGAACTGTTTTATTTTTCAATGTATTTGGGAAATTTTTAGCCATTATTTCTTTAGATATTCCTTCTACCTCTTTCTCTCCTTCTCTTATGGGACTCCCATAATGCCTGTGTTGGTCCACATAGAAGGTATTCCATAAGCCTTTGAGACTGTTAATTTTTTTCATTTTGGTGGGAGGGGTTCTATTGTTTTTCTTTTTTTCTTAGATGGGATAATCTTAATTAACTTTAAGTTTGTGGATTCTTCTTTTAACTCAAATCTGAATTATTTGTTTACTACTCTACTTTTCAACTTTCAAACTTCTATTTTTAAAAAATTATCTGTATTTTGTACTTAATGAAACATTGTGTTCATAACTTTATTTTCCTAAACCTGCTTTCCTTTAATATTTTGAACTTAACTTATAATAGATGATCTAAAGTCTTTACTAAATCCAAAGTCTGGACTTCTTCAGGGACAGTTTCTGTTGGCTGCTTTTTCTTCCGGTATATGGTTCCTATTTTACTGTTTCTTTGCATGTCTCAACCTTTTTTGTTAAAAACTGGACTTTTAAAATAATGGGCAACTCTGGAAATCAGATTCTTTCCTTTTGGGAGGGTTAGCTTTTGTTATCTTTGGTGCTGCTATTTATTAGTGACTTCTCTGGACTGATTCTTTAGTTTGTATTTTTGTAATTTGTGACCACTGAATTCTCTGCTCATTTAGCTTAGTGGTTAGCTAGTGATTGGACAGAGATTTCCCTAACTGTGTTCAAGCAATAAATCTCCCAGTTTTTGCTGAGGCGCTCTCTCTGTTGAGGCATGCTTTCAATATGTCAACAGGTCACAACTCTGTTTTAGCTTTCATTTTGTGCTTGTGGAAAGCTTCAGGGTTAGCCAGAGTGAGAGATCAGGGCTGTCTTAGGTCTTGGCTGCACACAGAGTCCTACACATGTATATGGCATTCTTGAGTGCTAGAAATACATTGGAACCTTTCAAAGCCCCTTGTGGACATCCCATTCCCCAGTTTTCCATCTAAGCTTTTGGTCAGATCCTCTTAGCCCCAGTTGCTAATGTTACCTTAGGCAGCCACAGTGTTAAACAGTTCTCCCTTATTGTTTTTGACAAATGCAGTGGAGATAAGACAGAGGAAGCTTTGAGTTCAGTCAGAAAAAGACAAGCCTCTAGAACAGAGCTTTCCAGCAAGCTGTCAGGTCAAATAATGACAGTTCTCTGGGGATACCACATGTGGGGACCTATAAAGCCATCTGGCCCTTTTGGTGGCTATTAGGCTCTTGGTTTTTATAGCTACCATAGTTGTAAAGCTATTGGTTTTCAAGGCTACCATGGAGTTACCTGGTCCTGGAGGAGGAGGATGGGATTAGTGCAAGTTAAAACAACATGAAGGTTGTTCTTACCAAGATATGGCCATTTTTCTTAAATAAATGCTCCTCAAAATGTCGAAAGCCTTTAGTTAATTGCCAGAGTTCTGAAAAAGTTGATTTTTGACAATTTTTGGCTGTATTCTTATTGCTTGTATGTAGGAGCAGATTTTTGGAGATCTTTGCTCTGCCATCCTGAAAGTTAACTACCTATCAGTACTTCATCAGTACTTCATCAAACGAGGAACCCTGGTGTAATGAGAGTCTGCTGTGCACATGCTGTGTGCACTGTCGCCTACTTTGCCTCATGTTCCCTTTTCTTGTCTGTATTCAGTGTCTTGAAGTGGCCCCAAGGGAGTGTTAAGGAGTGCAGATTACTGTAAACCAGTGGTCACGACTCTCACTTTATTAGGAATAAGTCTTAATCTTTAAATGGGCAGCAAGTGTTGGGCACGCAATCCTCCATTCCCAGAATGTGCTGCAGACCCAGGATCATATTGACCTGCTGGATCATTTTCTCCTATTGCCAGGAGAGTCCATCTTTTGCACTCTAGCCAACTTTGTTCATTGTCCTGTGTGGAAGTAAATCCATCATCCCCCAGAGTCAGGCTTGGAGGACAAAATACTAATAGTGGAAATGGCCACTTCCTCTGCACACTGTTGGGATTTGAAATTCTGTCCAGATACAACATTATTTTCTGTATATCAGATCTTACAGTCCTGGTGAACAGCTTGAGTTTTCTGTTAAATTTTTTTTTTTTTTAATCTATACATTTAAAGTCTTTTTGTGTGTAATATAAATTTAATTTTCTCATATGACCAGAAATATTGCATTATGGATATTTATTTTGTTATAGCCTTTTATTTCAGAAGTCATCAGTCTCCAAGTGTATAAAGAAACACAAGTGCCTTTGGTAAAAAGTAAAGAGTTTCTGGTCTGAAAACCCGTGTATGATTGTATAGCTATGTTGCAATTTGTATTTTTTGCCTTTTATGTATTTGTATTTTTTGCCTTTTATGTATTTTTATTTTTTTCTTACATGTTATATAATAATTCAACCAAGTCATCTAAAATGTGATATGAAATGGTAGAACAACAGTTTTGAAATCTTGAAAAATAAAACTGGAAACATTTGCTTGTATTTTTTTTCACCTCAGAGTGTTTTGTTAATGAGACATTTTATACTGCCATAAACTCAGGGCAATAATAAAGGTGTTGATTGATTTTTGGATGACAAGAGGCTTCTCTAATTGCAGAATTTGACATTTGTGTCACTTCTGTTTTAGGTGAGCAAGACGTGGAAGGTGATTGCAGAAGACGAAGTGCTCTGGTACAGGCTGTGCCAGCAGGAAGGGCACCTTCCCGAGAGCAGCATCTCTGATTATTCCTGCTGGAAGCTCATCTTCCAGGAGTGCAGAGCCAAGGAACACATGTTAAGAACCAACTGGAAGGTAGGCAGTAGCCAATATCCTTACCTGTAGAAGAACAGCCTACAAGGACACAGGAATCCAGGCCCTGGCTTAAATCCGGAGCCCCTCCAATTACAGCCTGAGGTTAACTGCCAAAAGCAAAGAGGGGAGTGTGGTGAGAGTCCTGTCAGCTGCGGTGATTTGTTGCCCATTTTGTTCACCGTTAGAGTATCTGCCCCCACTTTCAGCCACATGGTTTGGGAACATCCTATTCTCTAGGAGAGGAGGGGTGAGATTGGGGTGTCCGTCACCTCCCCTCTGATGGTTAGGGTCTCCGGACTAGTGCTCAGTACTCAGCCTCCTTTCGTCTCGGCCAACACTGATGGACCAAGAAACGGACCCCCACCTGAATACAAAAGAGGAGCTGAAAATGCTATTTCCAGTAACTCTTTAAGAGGGAGGTTTTAAACGTCTCTAAGTACTGTCTTCTCTCCCCTCACATAACCCACTGGCTTGCTTCCATAGCATTTATCACTTCAGAATCTCTACAGAAATATTAGATCACAGCTAAGAATTTGTGCAGTGGAATGTTTCTATGGGAAATAACTGTCAAGAACAGCATTACATAAAGCTGATCTGAGGCATGACAGGACGACCGTGCAGTGGTGCTGCTTCTTCCCTCCTGGTAGCTGGATAGTCCCTTATATGGAAAGAGTAGAACCATACATACTCTCCCCGCCCCTGGAAAGGTCAATCCTAATAGACTTTGAGATCAACAAGCTTTTGCTCATTACTGATGGTGACAGATTGCCTGTGTGCCTGTCTGTCCCTGGTCACCTCATAACCTGATTAGTGACGGATACTCTCGATCTGGGCAAACTTACACGGTTTCTAGCAGAGTTAGTAAGAGCAGTGTTTCTTGAATTCAGGGTTTCTCGACCCCAGCACACGACCCCAGTGACATTTGGTGAGGACTGTCCTGTGTGTGGCAGGATATTGAGCAGCTTCCCTAATGTCTGCGTAGTGGATGCCAGTAGCATTCTCTACCTCCCTCCAGTCGTGACAGCCGCAAATGTCTTCCAACATGTCGTGCATCCCCTGGGAGGCAAAATCTGCCCTGGCTGAGAACTACCTTTCTCAGGAGAGCTAGCATAGCCATCCTTTCATAGAGCTTTAAGACCCCACCACTAAATAAGAAGCGCCCGGGCCCCACAGCTGTGTGCTCACCAGGTCATGAACTCCTGTGGAGGCTGCCAGCGCTCTTGCCTGTGTGGTTGGGCCGACATGAGAGACCTCAGTGAGAGGCAGCCATGAAGGTTTGATGGCACTATTTAGACAAGCTGGGTCCAGCCCTGCAGCAGGAGCTGGAATTTAAGGAGAGCTGGCGAGTTGGGCATTCACTGGGGCCTTTGCCTCTGGAAAGGAGGGATACTTCTGACTTGTGTTCCTGGGAGCTAAAGTGACAAATTCAGAGGTGTCAGACCCTGAGGAGCACCACAGCTGAGTTTCTCCTTCCGCTTTGGTGATAGAGTAGGCCACAGAGGGAGGCAGCTGCTTCCTTCTCATCGGCTGGAGGTGGCAGCAGGGAAGGTGTTCAGAGACCCACCTGCAAACCTCTGGCCCTTCATAACTGTGGCAGGTTATGTGCAGGTGAACAAAACGTCTCGTTTTTTCTTCTGACAAGCACACAGCCGTTTGTTTAGTGAGCACTCCATGAACGATTGCCAATTCAGTGAACTGGAATCAGACTCTTCGCAGCATCTCGGCCCATTTCCTGGTCCTGTTACCAGTGAGGACTCCATGAGTGAAGTGCGTGCGGAATGACGAACCATACGCTAACTGTAATGACGGAATTCTTACTGGGATTCTAGAAAGAAAGCATGAAAAAACATGAAAAGTAGTGTTAAAGCAAGTTGTTTTCCCTTCGGGTGCTCCCATTTTCTGCTGTGTATGGCCGGCGTCGGGTTGTGGTGAGGGGGACGAACACTCCTTCTGTACAGCATGGCCCACGTCCCACGTAATGAGCTTTGTACAAATGATTCCAAACCCACAAAGGGACATAGAGTGGGAGATATATCTGTCTCTTGTGTCTCTCGGCCTGCCACCTGGCCCCCTCAGTCGCAACACTCATCATGGGTTTTTGGGTTCCCTTCAAAAGTACTGTTTCCGGGGTGCCTGGGTGGCTCAGCTGGTTAAATGTCAGCTCAGTGGGGAGTGTGCTCTCCCTTACCCCCAGCTTGTGTTGTGTCTGTCTGTCTCTCAAATGAATAATCTAAAAGGAAATTACTGTTTCCATGAACCTCTGACCTTGCAGTCTTTATTTTCCCCATCCTGATTTTATCTTTGTATGTCCTTGCTCATTTTATCCCCCGAGTGTTCATAAGGGCTGCTGACAGGTAAAATGCCATTAAATGCCTTCCGTCTTCTGAACTGAACTTTCTAAATACACGTGATGCATTTCTTCAGATACTTGCCACTGCCCACCTACTGTGCATCGTAGTTGTGTGCTCACACACTACCTTTATACCCTGTAACCCCCTCAAGCCCAGGAGCAGCAACTTGAATGTCCCATGCCCCCGCCCTCCTCTTCAATGCTTCTCATGTGTGCGGTAACCCGTAAATGCTAACACCTGATCTTATTACTTGTCACCTTTGTCCTTTGGAACGCCCCAGCAACTTTGAGCATAATCAAGTGCTAAGAAATAGCCGTCGAATGTAGCTGGAAGTGAAATGCCAGCTTCCGGGGATCCCAAGAACAGTACAAACTGCATCTCCCTTCTCCTTACACAGAATCGCAAAGGTGCCGTGAGCGAACTGGAACACATTCCTGACGCGGTTTTGTGCGACGTGCATTCCCATGACGGCATTGTCATTGCCGGGTAAGCAAACGCAATTTTTCACTTAATGATTAACTCTTCATCTTAAGGTCTTTCATTTTTCATGGGCCACCCTCTGAGTCCCGGTGACGTTCTCGTCCCCTGAGAGCACATACCTTCCCATGATAGCCCGGGTTTGATGGAAAATTTCCACGATTCTGTTGTCCAGCATTCAGGAGTCTGAAGTTAGTGGTGGGAAGCGAATGGTGTAGAGTGTAGAGCCATAATCCATTTGTCTCAATATGTCCTTCCTAGCTTTTAAATCACTCTTGTGGCATGTTAGGTTAGATTTTCATTAAGGCAAACAGTCTGTATTTTATGAAGACATAAAAAAGTCAAGCAAGAATAATACATGTTGGCACAAACGGAGCCTGTTCTTACTCTCTTGTTCTGAAGCTGTTGTTATGAGAAAGGGCTGTGGCCACATGTGATATTCCTTCCCCACCACACAGCACCTGTTTGCTACTTTTCCTGAAGTAAGCTTTTTAGTGGTCTTCATCACCAAGAAATTTAATTTTACCTTCTGTAAATTCCTGTGGCTACTGTCCCAAAAACCCCTTTCATGAATTCTTCCTATTTTACTAACAGATGCAAAAAGGTGTTTTTTAATGTACAGTGAGAAGACCAGTTTGATCTTTGGATTGAGAAGTGGTCTTTGAACTACAGTCCCACACTGTATATTTAATGCCCTGAGTAGAGACCATAACATTTAAAACCCTGAGTCTGAATTGGCTTTGGAGTGAGCCCCCCCAGGAGAGGTTCCTGTCCGGAGGACCAAAAACAAATCTTGGCCTGAACAGCTTGGTGTAGTAGGTGAGTCTTTTTCTTTAAAGAAGACTCTTTGCTTAAGAAGCACCATTGGAGTTAAAAACTCCAAACAGATTGTTTTGTGATCTACCATACCTAGAAAAAGTATTTTTGCTTGAAACTAGATACGCCCGGAAAGAACGCTTTCCCTTAGCTTTTCTTTTGCTGCCGTGATGTAGAGGTGAATGCCTTCTTGGGAGTGCTATAGAACCACTGTTTTTGGAAAGATGAATGGACCTGAACTCTGGAATTCTGTCCATTCAGGTATCAGTGCAGCTTTAGGCTTTTCTCTCTCATAGCAGAAATGTGGGCCTCAGAGCTCATGCTACGTAAGGTCCTTTGTGCCTACAGATTGTAAGGCTCCATGGTAACTCGGAAAGGACTTCTGTCCTTCTAGCTTACAGGGGTCTCCCAGTGTGTCAGGAGGCCTTTGAGGACAGAATGCTGAGATTGGACTGAGAGTCCGAAAGGAAATTAGAGATAAAGGAGACTTTAATCTCCAAAGCCAAGTAGGAGTTTATCTGGACGTGGCCCTCACAAAGGCCGGCTGGCCACGACTCCAGATGCCAGCCCTTCTTTTCCTGCCTCCCCGTTCCCCTGAGGTCTGCTCAACATCACAGATTATGCCAGCACAACACAAAGCAATGGCAGAGTTTCGTGGATCGATAAGATGAAACGTGATCTGTGGGTCAGAGAGGCTCCTCCCGGCTCCTCTTTCTAAGAGAACCTTATGTTTATGGCCTAGCATTGGGTACTTCAGTCTTGCTTGTGTGTAGAGCATCTTGTGTTTATCATTAAAATTTTATCTGGTGGTTACGGTGCTTGTTTTCTGGGTCAGATCTCGAATCCCTTTTCATTTGAGACAGTGGTGTTTGTGGTTACCTCATTCCCAATCAATGTTGCATTCCCCCGGCTTTCTGCAGCTCTGCGTCTCCAAGGAGCTGCCTGCAGAGACCCTGGTCACTCCACCCTCTCTCGCCCACCTACTCAGCTTGTGTTTCTCTGCTTTTCCTTCTTCATTTCCTTTTTTCCCCTTTGAACATAGGCAGAATTTGTTCGGGGGCTTAAGTTTTATGTGCCTAGAACTAAACTGTGTAACCTCTTTGCATTGAAACCTGTTAGGTTTACTTCCTGTGATTGGCAGCAAAGGCTACTGCAGAATCCCTTGCTTTTTCCCATCTTTTCACACCTTTGTGTAAAAAGTTCCTGGTTTGGAGTTGCCTAGAGGAATTTTTATTACTTAATGAGCCTCGCAGTTGACCCTGTCTTGGGTCTGCCTTACTTTTCTTTTCACTCAAACCAGAGTAACCTTCAAACACTGATGCACTCCAGTGCACCCGAGACCCAGCGTACTCCTCAGCCGAGCAGGACCTGGATGATGCCTCTTGCCCTAGGCTTGTCTTCCAGCAGAGGAAGCAGATATTATTGTCAGAACTTTTGGTTTTTTGTTCTTTTTCCCGTGAGTCTTTTGTTTCCCTTATGGTCTCATGGATGGTAACTTCCAGTTACCTTTTCCTTATGTTCCAAGCCCTTTGAAATTTGTTTTCAATTGAACTTTTTCCTGATTACTCGTCTCTGGTACCCTTGACTTTTCCCACAGTCTCTGATTGCCTCTGGCCACATCTCTCTCTCTCTCTCTCTCTTTTTTAATTGAGATATAATTCCTATACCATAAAATACCCTTTCAAATTGACGAAGTCCGTAATTTTTAGTATATTCACTAGGCTGTGTATCTATCTACCACTGTCTAATCCCAGAACATTTTCATCACTCCAAAAAGAAACCCAGTCCTCCTCCTGTAAGGTCCAACTCCAGTCTTGTCTCCTCCCAGGGGTGTCCACAGCCCCCTGGCCTATTAACCCCACCCCAGCATCTGCCTGTTTCCTAACTCCTGGAGAAGTGACTGCAGCTTATAGTGTAGCTTTGCCTTAATTAACATTTTTGTTTTCTGTTGTGGCTTTACTTTGAAATAATTAACTTCACAACCATGTATTTTCTTGCTGTTAATTTGTAAGCATCTTTTTCTTTTTAAAGCTAGAGGTAGTGTGTTATATGCAGTGCCCCACGGTGCTTGTACATTGTTTTGTCTGAAGGAAACATTATAATTTGATATGCAGAACCCCCTCCGACCTGGATACTGAATGTTATGTGGAAACCTGAGGAAATCCCTAATTTGTCTGGTCCTTGATTTCTTTGTCCTTTCCACTTAGAATCATGTCATCTAGAACCTGGAAGAAACCGTAGAGGTTAACTGTTCTAAAACCTTCCTTTTACATGGCTGCCTGAGGCTTGGAGGTCTGACGAGCCGGGAGGGTCAGGCGTGCACCGCACCACTCCACTGTTCTTCTGCAATGTCCACGTGGAAAACCAGCGGGTAGGGCTGCCTTCTGGAGCCCTTGTTTGCTACTCCGACAGCTCATCTATGACAGCTTCATTTTGGGTTTTCTTTTGCGGCACATGTCATTCTTTTCTGTTAAAAAAATGAAAAAGTGGTAGTAAAACCATGTTCTTACAAAACCATTAGAAAGCAGTGAAGAGAAAAAGCCACCTAAATCCCAGCATGCTAACATGGCTCTTGTTATGGTTTTTGTGTACACAAGTTATTTGCTCATTGTTTTATGCACATTTTTACATAAGCCTAACCTACCTTCTATTTTGGCCTTTATTCCTCACTAAACTGAAGTTTTTTTTGTGTAATTACATGCTTTTCATTATTTTCTTTGATTTGTTACAAAAAGTCCTACAACGTATCTTAATTTTTTTTTTTTTTTATCATTCCTCTAGTATTGGACAATAAAGTCCTTTCCCGTGTCTTGTTATTAATGTATATATTTTATGTAGGGGTTTTCAGATTTCCCCCCTTTTTAGTACTGCCAGTCTTCTTGAAAAATTATAAAACACATGCTTATTGGGGTCCCTGCGTGGCTCAGTTAAGCATCTGCCTTCAGCCCAGGTCATGATCTCAGGCTCCTGGGATAGAGCCCCATGTGTGGCTCCCTGCTCTGCAGGGAGTCTGCTTCTCCCTATCCCTCTCCCCTTGCTCATGGGCTCTCTTGCTTGCTCTCTCATAAATTAAAAAAAAAATTTTAAAAAACACGTGCTAACTATAGAAACTTTAAATTGCATATAAATGTGTAGAATAAAGAGTCCTGCATCTTTCTATATCCCTTAGTGTGATTATTTTTCTAGGCTAGAGTCCCATTAGTGGAATTACTGGATTTAGGGGAATGAATTTTCATATTTTCCAGATTAAGAAATTATTTTTAAAAAGCCCTCATAACTCTCAGCTTCCTTCCAGTCTGACTTTGGTGTGAAGTCTCCAAACCATCCCGCAAGCCTGCTCTCCTGACTCTGCCCTCCCTCCCTTCTGTCAGTGCGATAAATAAGAGGGGACACATTCATGTCTTAACCTCCTATAGTCTGGTTTCTATCCCAGGCCTTCCACCAAGCTACACTGTCTCTCAGATCACCAGGGCTTGCAAACTGGTGGCTTTTCTTGGCCCATCGCCTTCCACGTGTTGGCAGTGTTGGGTCTTGTTAACTGTATCCTTCTTAAAATGATGCAGGTGGTGCATTGAGCATCTCTGTACCTTCAGAGCCTAACACTGGACCCAGGACTCAGACTTTGAGGAAAGTGTGTACAGAATGAAAACTCCTCACACTCCTGAGACCGTGCACTTTCTGGGACTCTTTACTGCGTCTTTAATCTGCCCAGGCTCCTCCTGTGGCCCTTCTTGCCTTTCTATGGTCTCACTTGGCCACTTAGCAGTGATGTGCAAAATTCCAGAAAACACAGTTGCTCTCTTTGCTGGGTAGATAAGAAGTTCCTGCAACCGTGACAAAGTAATTCAGGCACAACCTTTACTTTTTTGTTTCAGCCAAAATTTCTCATTTCTTTAACCGGAGAAAAATTTGTGTTCAGAAGCCACTGATGTCCATACTGGAAACCCCCTGTCTGTCTCAGAGTTCAGCCTCTAGCTGCATTTTCTCTGTGATGGGGTAACCCTCCTGAAACACAGTGAGGGTGGGTGTATGCTTTTCCGTGTATTTAGAAGAGAGATTATCTGGAAAGTTTGTTGATAATAAGTGATTAGGAAGTATGGTTTTTGTTTTTGTTTGTTCGGGTGATGACAGCTCTGAGAATTTTGAAATGTTTCTCAAATTATGTTTCTCATTAAAAGAACAGAAGAGATGAG